TAGCTTTGCAATTGATTGGGAATAAGAATGAAGTAATTTGGTATTTGCCTCTAAAGTGCCCAACGCGGTTAAAACTTTTTCCTCAAATGCGGTACTCCTTGAATTCCCTTGAGAATATGAAGATTGATTTGGAAAATGTGAGTTAGAAAATTGGTTTCCATGTGATTTTTGGTAGGATGAATGGTAACCTTGGGAACCTTGGCTTTGCATTGAGGGCAGAACATACTTGCCTTGAAAACCACTTTGGGGAGGGTTTGAGCCTTCCCCTTGGCTTTTCCAAGAGAAGTTTGGATGGTTCCTCCACCCGGCATTGTAGTGAGTGCCATAGAGATTATTCCTTTGGTTGACAAATATGACATTTACTTGTTCATGGTGTTCATTTTGCACATGTCCATGGGGACAATTGGAAGTAGAATGTAAAACACTAGAACAAGTCATGCATGATTCATTAAATGGATGATGATTATGACTAGGGAAGGAAGACACTTGGTTCGCCAAATTTTGGTTGATCAAACCATTGGGATAAAGACTTCACTTCGGTGAATATATCATTGGAATGGTCAACTTGATACAAGCTGACATTCTTCCTTCCACCTAGATTTCTACCATTTTTAGAAGATAAAGACCGATGCATTGAATTCTCACTCATGTTCTGATATAAGCAGCATACATCATCTTCATGCCTATCAGGATATGAACCACCCATAAAAGCATCAACCATTTCTTTAAAATTATCCGACAAACTTTCAAAGAAAAATTGAACCAATTGCCATTTAGGAATGTCAAGGTGGGGACACATCCTAAGCAAGTCGTTCAATCCCTCCCATGCCTCATAAAACAATTCCCCATCCCCTTGTGAGAATTCTCGAATTGAAGTTCTCATTGAATTGGTCTTTGATACCGAATAGTACTTTTTCAAGAACTCTTGTTGCATTTCTTCCTAAGTAGTTATCGAAAAAGGCCTCAAATTGTTAAACCAGTATTTTGCTTTTATCTTCAAGGGTGAAAAGGAAGAGTTTGAGTCTCAAAACCTCTTCCGGCATGTCAGTGTATTTCACGGTGGAACACACTTCAAGAAACTCATCCAAATACTTGTAAGGTTCTTCACTTGGTAGCCCAGGGTAATTGGGAAGCATTTGAATTGTTTGTGGTTTAATCTCATAATGGTATGCTCTAAATGGAGGTAATTGAATGCATGTTAGTGCATTATACTCATTTGGCACATAACGATCTCTTAAAGAAAGAGGGGGATTCACAATTGGTGCCTCAACACGAGCACCATAATTATCTTGAACAGCGGGAGGTGGGGATGGAACAAAAATTGGCTAAGGCATTCCCAATAGAACTTGGCCTTGTTGTTGTGGAACGAAAGGTCTCAGCATGCCTAATGGTACTTAAATGTTGTCATGATGCACATTAGGGTGAAGAATACCTTGTTGATTGATGTGACCAAGGTCCTCCATATAGTCTTCATTTAGTTCATCCATTGATGAAATGGAGTTACTAGACTTACCCCTTCCCCTAGGATTACAAATAACCAATTCAAAATGATAATCAAGCGGGACAAGAGTAGGATTTAATGACCTATGACCCTACATGCACAATCAAAACAACAACTAGCAACAAGCATGTAGCAAATAGCAATCACTTCGCCTCCGCAACAAATCAATCAATAAACCTCCATATACATTGTTCCCATACTCCCACGCTTTCAACAATATGCAAGAAAAATAAAATTGCCTCCACGCGGGCTCCGATCTAGCTAAGAATTTAAAAACTTGCCACCACGCGGGCCGATGATTTAACTAGAGAGGTTAGAAAAGCTCAGAAAGGGTCCTTAAGCAACTTCAAATCATTTTTCAATTTTTGCTTTGCTTTGTAAATTTTTAATTTTTAGCTTTTTATGCTTTTGCTTAACTTAACTTGGCTTGCTTGCTTCTTTGCTCTAGAATCCTTTTGCTTCACTTCTCTTGACTCAATGCACCTAGTCAAATAAGAACAAACACAATAAGTAACCAAAATAAAATAAAATAAAGACACGATCAAAAGAGTACTAATTCCTAATTGTTTCCAAAATACGGCGTTGCCTATCCCCGGCAACGACGCCAAAACTTGGTGTGATCGTCGCGTTATGCACCCAAATTGCACTAAAAAGTGTGTAGTGTGGCCAAGTTTGAATTTATATAATGTCACTACTACTACTAACTACTAATATAGCTAGAGTGAGTAGGGATCGTCCCAAGGGAATGTGAACGGTATTTTTGTGGAAACAATGTTGGATTAGTAGGTCGAATGATCAAAAGATGGTTTGTTGGTTAAATTAAACTACAATTTAAACTAAACAAATGCAATATAAAACAACTAAAGTAAGTAAGGTGTGGAGAATATGAGAGAGGAATCTTGGGTCATAGAGTTCACCACTAAGCATTACCTTCATAGACATTCAATCTTTGATGGATTAGGGGAAATATGTGTTGTAAAAGAAAGTGTGTGCCATTGATTGAAACATTAACATGGATGGCCAAGTAAGCATACATTGTCTAGCCAATTTAATGAATAATACAACATATCAAATTAAGCCATTAATCCTTCCATAAGCCCACAATCAATGCACACTCAACAAATTAGAGAAATATACAACTTACATTCATAAGTATGGAACATCAAACAACAATAATGGATTGTCCACCTATTTAAGAGAGTAAGGCAACTACATTACAACTAGGTTAGTGACATGAAAATTAAACTAAACTAAGGTTGTGGCATAATCCATTAAGAAATGAGTATTAACCATCAAACAAACCACAAGAGTAAACCATTTAAGCACCATGCCTTGACCATCACTAGATTCATAATATCAACACACATAGACATGCATCAATGTCACAAAATCTAGAGATAAACACATGAATATCCATTTTAGCATACATAAACGTATGAATAGAATTAAATGATCAATTGGAAGTGTTAAACTACACAAATCATTGTAGAAACAAGATTTACATATATCAAATGTTAAGATAAGAAATATAAAACTAATCCCCATTAATTACAAAATATTAAAGTCTAGGAGGCATGCTTAGGGCTATCTCTAGCCCCAAGAGATGGTTTAGCCACTAATTGATGTTGTCATCCAACCTTCAATGGCTATCTCCATGGTAGAGCTCATCTTCCTCCTCTTATGTTCTTGATAGAAACCCTAGATGAGAGGAAGAACTTTCTCAATTGTGTATTCTCCCTCTAATCTCTAGCCAAGCGTCTCTAACTAACCAACCTCTTTACTCAAAATAGCCAAAATCCTTATATAGTTAGCTCAAGTGTCACACGCAATGGTCAGACCTCGTGCACTAGGACCTCCAAAAAATTGCACCACGAGCACACATTTAATTTGGCTTGAAATCAATTTTTCACGCAACTTGAGGCAGTTCGATTGATCACGAGGTTGCTTGGATCGATCGAACCTTGGCGGCGCACTTTTTGGATAATGACAAGGCTGAGATACATTTGGGAAAAGGACAAAAGTGGTAGGTGAGGATAAGATCAAAAGGGTTTGATCGATTGAAGGAAATGTTGGATCGATCGAGCAAGATATTTTGCTAAGGATAAGGACAAAAGGCTCGATCCATCATGATATGGATGGATCGATCATAGTGAGATCGATGGCAGCTTGGGTTCGATCGATCATAGAGAGCTTCTTCACCCCCTTTGCTTCCACTTTGCTCCTTTCTTCCTTTAAGCTTGAAATTGCTTCTTTTAAAGCTCTAATTCGGCTGAATTAACTCATTTTGGGAATAAGTGCCTGAAAAGGGAAATAACACGAAATTAGACTAAAACGAAAAAATAAAATAGAATAAGGTACTAGAATGTTCCAGCTTAAGGAGTTTAAATGTGCACTTTTCAGTGCTTATCAATATGCACTGTAAGTATATTTTAGGATGTTTTCTGTACTTGGCCCTACTTATAACTAATAACCTAAATCAGCACTTGATTTTGAACAATTAGGTTCATTTGATAATATGATTTGAATATCATTTTTATAAAAAATAATAATAATAAGTGTCATATTTTTTTAAAAAAATAAATAGGATAAAAGTTTAAGTAATAATCACTACTTTTTAAGTAATGCTCAATAAAGTTTAATTCACAATTATAACTTAAAATTCAAAAAAATAAAATCTCAATTTTCAATTATCACTTACAAATTTAAATCTTTTATTTTGATTTTTATTATCAAACAACACATTACTCTTGTGGCATTTCAAAGGTTTTTTTAGTTATTTTTTATTTTTATTTTTTAACATTAACAGGGACTCAGGCCACTCATCTCTCTTTTTAGGGAGGAGATACCAATTGGACTAGTGACCAATAGTATATTACAAAGAAGTGAGGTGCACTGTACTTCCGGGTCAAATAAAATTTTTTTTTCGAACTCTCAAACATTTTTGTTAATTCACACATTACATATCTACTGTTGAAGCAAGTTTTTTTCGCTTGCAAGGCCTACAATTTGTATGGGAGACTATTTATTATCTTAATTTTTGTCTTGCAAGAAAGTCACACACTCACACTTTTTTTATGGAAGCCTCTAAGTCTCTTAAACAAAAATAAATAAATAATTGGCGAGAGATCTGTCACTGGCCAAAAAGAATAATGTCAATATAAATTTAAAAATGAATGCTTTGGATGACATTGGTTGCCGCCAAAGCACCATAGTATTTATTAACTATTAAGCATATGCATACCAGTATTTGAAGTGTTACGTTGTCCGCGTACCTTCCATTATAAAATGAAGTTCACAAAAGTTCTAGCAACTTTTGAGAGAGAGAAAGAACTAAAAGTAGAAATATTGCGTTAAATGGAGGTTTAAGCAGAGTGTTTAGGTCTACCTACTGGTGGTTAGGGTTCGAAACCCTAACGTTTAAGCAAACAACAACGAGAACAGAACCACACCCACCAACAACGCATAGCCATTTGAGTTCTAGAAGAAGTATCTAGTGAGTTTCCTATTCATTTATTTATTTATTGTTTCCACGTTAGAAAGGTGGAATGATTTGAAGAAGAATATAAGAAAATAAAAATCATGAATAGAAGGTAGAATGTTTTGTATTCTTTCTAATAAAACACTAACTTAATGTTTATTTAATACTGTTTTGATTGGAGTCATTGTTCAATGATAAGGAAGGTGATGTTTTTAGGATCTTTTGGGGATTGTTTTTGTCTCTGTTTGAGGAGGAACTGGGTTCAGCCGGTTGGGGCCTTTGTTGAATCCCCTTCTCTGCTCCCACCAAATAGAGGGTACACCATTGCTCTCTTGTGGGTTTCGGTACTTTAATCACTTCTTGCCTTTTTCTTACTCATCTGTGGTTCTAGATTGTGATTTGATGATTATTTTTGGTTTTTGTTAGTTAATTTTGATGTGGATTATTAGATTTTAATGCCTGTACTGATGCACCTATGCTGCTGCTAAATTTCTCTTTTGGGTTCCCAATTTGTTGTTTTTTTAATTTTATCAAACAACAATTTTTGGGATTTGAGTGATATTCTTTTTTTTTGTCCTATGAAGTTAAGAAACTTTGTTTTCCCTCTTACTAAGTGAAAGATTGTCTAATTTGCTCTATATTCATGATTATGATGTGTTTGTGATATTGTTGATGTTGCTTCTGCCGCTGTTATCAGCTCCAATTCACAAGCTACATGATGATGCTAATAATGATCAAAATCCCCTTCAAAAAATAAAAAGAAAATTTTGTTATGGTGAAATTTTTATAATAGCTCCTTTGTGGGATTTGGCTCTTCTGGTCTTCATACTGTGCAGAATAAGGAAAAAAAAAAAAGAAAAAGAAAAAAAACCTATAATTCTGTTTTTTTTGGGGGTGGTGTTGGATATTTTATTTTTATTTATTCTTTCCCTGGGTGGGGTTTTATATTTTGATTTATTCTTCATCTTCCTCTTAATTGTTTGCAATTCATTCTCCCTCTCTGTCTTTTGAATTGGCAGATTCTGAAGACAAAGATGGTTAGTTATTACCAGAGTTAAAGTAAATAAAGAGATCTCTTTCCAACATACTTATCGGAACAAAAACTTGCCTCGTATCCTGAATAGTAACATGATGTATCTGAACCAAGCTTCTACCACTGTTTCCTATGGGGAGCTCCTTTCCAGGAGTTTTCTCTCTCCTTGTAACAGTGTTGAAGTCCCATCCATTGAAAGCAGAAATGAGATGGTTTTGATTCCGTCTACAAGTGACCCTATGAGTATGCAACCGATTGGTGTGCAGCTAAACATTACAACAAGTCTTCCTGTTGACAACTCTGTTTCGGTGGATCCCCATATGGTTTCAGGAACACCGCTACACATTTTAGGCAGTGAACAAAATTTTCAGTATCAAGGCTTGTCTCTCAGCCTTGCCACACCAATAACATCTTCAGTTCATGTCCCTTCATTTCAATATCATTTTAGAAACCCCGGTCTTTCTTCCTCAGTGAGTTCCCATGTTCCATATTCACTGGAGGATGCCTCTCAAAGTAAGGAGTCAATAAATGCTGAATACTTATCGTTTTATTCACCTGAAGGCACTCACAATTTGATCAAAGTGGGGGCATTGAACACCCCTCAATGCTCAATAAGCCCGAAAGATATACATTCTGGTCGAAATACATATGACCCATCAGATCTTGCAACTCCAATTTTGAACTCTAAATATCTTAAGCCATCACAACAATTGCTTGATGAAGTTGTTAATGTTGGGGGAGCTTTGAAGCAGAACGAGTCCGACAAACACAACCTATATAAGTTTGGTCTAGATGGCTCCAAAGAAAGTGAAATGAAATCTAACAGTAGCTCTATGCTCCCCTTATACAGTGGTGTGTCTTCTGATCCGCATGAGTTGGCTACCAACTCCTCTTGTGAGCATTCATCTGTAGAACAACAGCATTTGCAGAACCGGATAACAATGCTTTTGTCTATGTTGGAAGAGGTATGATCACTATGTCAAATCTCCATGTCCATAATCTCTATCTTTAGTTCAGTTACTTGTATCAATTTATCTGCTAGGTTATCATGTGAACTAATGATTTTTTCTTTTGTTTCTATTTTCTTCCTAGTATGCTGTTAGGGGAATGAAAAAAAAAAAATGTATACAGTTTTTCCTTTAAAATTTTGAAACAGTCTATTTTGCTTCTGTTTTCAAGTATTTTCATTCAGTTCACATTTCTAGAGTTCTTTTTTTCACTCCTTATTTAATTTATTTATTTATTTTGGTCAAAAATGTTCGACATTATTAGTTTTCTTTTTGGTAAGTAAAAGTATATCACTAAAGGTTGCCATAGGGGCCACAACTCATGTAAAAGTTTTTTGGTGTTCACATCCTAGTAAACAAGTATCTCAGGTTTGGTTTTCAAATTTAGCCTAGTTTTGGGGCACCATACATTGATACCAATGCCTAATATGTAAATAACTACTACCAATTATGGTGAGTTTATACCTTAAACAATATTTGTTGCAAGTTCCACTTCTTAAATGCAATATTTTGGATTGTATTTGCTTGTCCTTGGTATACAATGAGAGGGGTAAGTGGGAACTTTATAGCGTCCCCTGACTCCTTGTATGTGGAAAACCCAATTCATCTGGTGTTATTTATTCATATCCCAATATTGTTTGATGAAATTGTTGTTGAAAATTTCAAATTGATTGTGATTTGAGGCAATCTCAAGTTTGACGGTGAACTTTGGAAAAAATGGGATCTTACTTATGGATCAGATAGGGATGTTGCTTATGCAGATCTGATTTAGAAGTCTAGTAAGTTACCTCTTGTCATTTTTTAGACTATTCTTGAAGCCTTGGTTGGCAGCACCAGATAAGGTTTTCTGTTTGTAGTTTTTCTTTTCCATTTTTTTGTTTCCCTGGTAGTAGCTTTGAAATTTTCAAAATTGCATGGGAGAGCTTGTGTTGTGAGGTTCTACAGTTGAAGTACAGTGCTATTAACTGGTTCAAAGTGATTAGCTGGTTTATTGGTGTTTTGGGTGAGGAGAGGGAGAGGGTTAGGTTTTTGGAGAATCTATAGTCAGGAGTCAGCTTAGAATGGTAATGGCACTAGTCTGACCTGACCTCTTAAGAGCATCAGCTGTGTTTCCTACACAATACTGTTCTCTTTTCTAGCAGTAAAACTAGGTTTGCTTACCAATATGTATGCCACTACTGGTGGCATATATATTGGCCTCCACCGATGAAATACTAAAAGGAATACATAAAATGTGGGAGGTCTAGCATATGCGCTTTTTCTATTAGTGTTACTCTGTCACCCTTCAACAAATAAAACTTTTTCTAAACCATGAAATTTCAAGTTAATCAGTTGATAATCTGCTCTCAGGCTTATTAGTTCTCACTTTGGTGTGGAGATGTTTCATTCTAAAATATCCAATTATTGGAAATTCTATTCTTTTGCAATTCGAAACTATCTGATGGTAAGGGATCTTATTTGCTTGTTCCAGGAAACATGATGTTGGAAATATAAATGTATCAGACTCCCACTGGATATATAGTTGAGTTGACAGGATTCTTGTTTATTTTATATTTGGTTTTTTGGAAGCGACCATTGCTTCGTATAGTAGTAAAAGCTTGCAGTTCCAAGCATGAAAAAGTGAACGAATATGAGGACAGCCACTTTGTGTAAATAATGTCAAAGGTTAGGTTTTTGTCTAGCCATCCATCTCCGCACCTTTGATTAGCGTATGGGCAACAGTATGATTAGGTTATTATTATTATTTTTCTAGAATTAATTCAATAGTAAAAACTCATATTGACAAGCGTTTGAACATGTGTTTGAGTTTGAGAGTGGCAGTGTGGATGGTGGCCTTTCTCTCTCTCTCTCTCTAGAAGTTTATTCATTGGTAAAAATCTCAACATGCGTGAGGAAGTGTGTTCATGTTGGAGAACAGCCACTTTGTGTCCGAATAACACTGAAGCTCCGGCCTGCCTCTAATTCTCTCCCGGTACACCACACCACTATTGAGTAATGTACTTTCTATATTCACTTAGTTCAACTATTAATCAAGATGCCACTGTGGAGAGGAGAAATTGAAACAGGATCTGTTTGAACAAGTATTTGTGTTAAGCTCTTACTGCAGGAGGGTATTGTCATGTCCCTTGAAGCACGTAAGGTTCTTAGCTCCTGTCAAGGTTGCCTTGTCATATGTTTTCTTTTATTTTAGACATGCCTTATGAATGAATTTTCAACAGAGTATCACCTAATTACTCATATTAGTTATCTTGATTAGGAGTCATGTATGGAAATCACCATATTAAGATGGTGGAGAGTTGTTCGGTTTTGCCTTCTGTGTTAGTACAATAGGATTTCTGAGGTTGTTATCTCATATTTAAAATCAAGCTGATGTTGGGGAAATCAGTTTCTTGTGTGACTCCCTTTAGGGGACTTTGGAGGCGTTTCCTTTCTTACTTGTGTGAATTCTCGGGCTGCAACTATTTTGAAGGAATTCTTATGATCCTGCTCTTCTTGTAGGTAGATAGAAGATACAAACAATATTACCATCAGATGCAAATCACTGTGTCATCTTTTGAAATGATAGCTGGGTGTGGGGCCAGTAAACAATACACAGCACTTGCCCTCCAAAGAATCTCCCGTCACTTTCGGTGCTTACGTGATGCAATCAATAGTCAGATTCAAGTTTCTTCGCGAAGCTTAGGGGAGCAAGATGAAACACCAAATGGTCAAGGAGGAGTATTATCCCGTCTCCGCTATGTGGACCAACAACTCAGGCAACAGAGGGCTCTTCAGCAGCTTCGAATCAATCGGCATTCTTGGAGGCCACAGAGAGGGTTGCCTGAGAGCTCTGTTTCAATCCTCCGTGCTTGGATGTTTGAGCATTTCCTTCATCCGTATGTTCTTTAAATATATTTTCTCTCATTCTTACTTGCCCATTACCGAAGAACTTTCTTCCTAATTATTGCTGCTTTTGGTGTTCCATCAGCTACCCAAAGGACTGGGAGAAAGCCATGTTAGCGAGGCAGACAGGCCTGACCAAAAGCCAGGTAAGAGAGAGGTATAGAGAGAACATTACCTAATGATGGCTTCATAATACATGTGAGGCAACTATTGAATCCAGAATTAGGTATTTTTTAACTTTTGATCTTCATTAACTGTACTCTTCAGGACCTATTGAATTATGGGTCTCTGCTGCACATGATCCCTGCCTGTTTCTGTTTACGTGGTTGATTCTTTTATCAACCACTCAATTGACACCCTATATTTTCTCAAAACAATATCATAAAATCAAGGAGGACCTGTTCTTATTGCTCTAGTCATTTAGCACACTCATTAGACTCATGTTTTGACCAGGTTGCAAATTGGTTTATAAATGCACGGGTGCGTCTTTGGAAACCCATGGTTGAAGAGATGTACAAAAAAGAGTTTTGTGATTTAGAGGCAGGCTCTAATTCTTCACCAGAACATGCACCCAAAGAATCAAGAGAGAAGTTGTGGGCATTTGAGTATAGGGGAGAAGAGTTGCGGGAAAGTGGGATGTCCACAGTTGCTGATGGTGGCCACCTGGGGCAATTCAATGACTTGAAGTCTGATTTTACCCCTGATATAGAAATGCATGGGTTCACAGCAAGGTTCAACTTTCAGAATGTCGTTCATGTGGATGATGACATTGATTCAGGGATGTTGAAACTGCAGGATGACCAAACTTGCATTGGGGTTGCAACGTCGTGAAAAATACTCACTGCCTTTGTCTGGTGGGATGTGAAGAGGGGACGATGCAAAAGATTCTTCTTTGGGGGCCTCCTGTCACAGCAGATTATCAAAGTGTGGATTCTGGAAACCAATGACACAGGTTCAGCAACTCCAAACTTCTTACCTGGTTTTGTGGCATGAGGAAATGCTTCCTGCAATTCTGCGGATGTAAATTCAATACTCATGTGAAAAAAATTTCTTAGTAGGGAAAAGAAAGGATAAAAAAGAAAAATTCATTGCTTTTTGGTGGATGAGTAGCATTTTTTTGTAAATATGAAATGCACATATATTCACGTGTAATTGCGAATAAGGAAACTTGTACACTATTTTTTTTTTCTTCGAAAGAATGAGTTTGATGTATCATTTATTTGAAACAAATAAGAATTGGATAATCATTTGTTATCGGTAACATACAAATTACTATAGGTTTCAGTTAGCAATGCCAACTTTGTGCACTTTATCCTGTTTTTTAAGTTGGCTGAGTAAGTTTAGATTTAATATCCATTGCTTGCTTTCAGAAGCATTCTTTGAAAATGCCACCAGAAAGTATCTGAGTCATCTTGGCGAACTTTCTTCCATCTTTTTCGTGTATCATATCCATATTTCTAATTTCATTATTTATTGTCTTTGTCACTTTTATCATCACAAAATCATATGGTAAATATTCTGATTAGGTATGGAAGTTGTTTCTTGATCTTTTTGGCAGCCAAATGATAATTTTGTGATAAAGCTCTTCTGGAATATGTAGATGTTTCTTCTAATAGCTCTCGGAAGATATATTGTGAAAAAATTATAGCAGGTTCCAATTGGTACTGATTCTTATGTAATGATTTAGAGTTTGAGTGGTATAACTTCTGGTAACTAGGTAATGGATTTATTGAAAACAGCATTGAGTTTATGATAAAAAACTTAAAATTTGGTGGTTCACTTGTACAGTTGCATGTTTGCAATATTATACACTCCATACACACACACACACACAAATTGTCTCTTGCTCACCACTGAGTAAGAAATTCATCTACACCATGCATGGATGACCATTGGATGTGACTGTTATGTTTTTTTGGTAACTGTGTAGTAATTTTTTACGTCCAATGATCACTTTGCACAGTGCGGATGAATTTTTTGCTCACCGGTGAAAAAAAGGTCATTACCCTATACATATATATATATATAAGACTGCAGAATTATTTGTGTTAAATTCCTAGAAAAACCAGGGGTTTTTAATCATACAGAAAAGTAAATAACCTAAGGAATCATGGAATGACAAGTTTGAGAATGATTTGAACATTTTATGCTTTCTTCCATCCAGCATGTGTCGAGTGTCGTGCAAATTTTTGTGTGATAATGTGAAGAATGGAGGGAATGCTCTTAAATTCTCTCTCTCTCACTGTTGCATCTTTTAGAGGTACTCTTCTTCTCTTTGATTCTTGGGAGGGAAAATGATTTTGGGGGAAACCAAGTTCAAGAATTTGGTATTGGAAAAATTTGGCTGTGATTGTTTCAGATTGTGCAGAGACTACTTTATTCAGCAAGTGGGGTTGGTCATCAGGTCCTATATATAACTACAAAACTAGGGAAACAGAGAGTGACAGCTGGGGGAGGCCAAAGGAACAAAAGTGGTAATCATTACTAGAGCATCCTAATGTAATGTACCACAATCAATCAATCAATCTCATAACCCACAATAAGTTTGCACAAGAATCCATTTTATATTTATGCTCTTTTTTTTTCTTACTTGATAGATTGTGATTTCAGTGTCCTCTCAACATCTCAATATATGTATGATGATTATATTACAACAGCTAACAGGAAAAAAGTTGGATATTCCCATATCATCTTAAGACTGGAGTGTGCAAAAGACAGCCCACTTTTTCTCTCTTTTTTACTGTTTCAGAAACTTGTTCAACAGGACAATTTATCATATTTTAGCTCTTTCTATTGTGTGTGTGTGTGTGAGAGAGAGAGAGAGAGAGAGAGAGAGAGACACTACTTTTGAGTATCCCAAAGAAATGTAACAGTAGGCATTAAAGCTGAAGGGGTTGGGCTGATGCTTTTGCTTGTTGTTTTGTAGTCAGGGAAGAGGGGGGACCACATTTTCCTGTCACTTTCAAGCATTTTCACTTGGCTAATTAGCTTTCACCTCTTTGGAGAGATTGCAGAGGTCTATGTCTCTAGGTTTTATAGCTTTCTATATGCTAGACCTTTTGTTACACAGTGTGTGTATATATATATATATATATATATTATAGACAGAGAGAAGTGTGTTTTCTTCTTTGAATGAGCTATTGTCGAGGTATGTTTGCCCATTGCATGTATAGACTGGTCACTGGTGTTCATTGCTTTTCCAACTCTGTAACTTCTTTAACTATGCTTATCAGTGGTTGTATTTACTAGTTGGCAAAGAGCCATTAAGAGATGGGCTTGTCAATTAATTAGTTCCTCTGGTTGTATACCACTCTTTTTCCCCAATCTTCTTTCTTTATGTTTGGATACATTCAACCTCTTTGTTTCACGTCTTTCTCTTTCTCTAGAATGGAGGGGTTTTTTTTTTTTTCCTTATAAAATGTTTAGAGGGTTAAGTTCTCTCATTTTCACTTGCAGTTCACAATAATTGGGGTTTTGATTATTTTTTGCATTAGTTCTAGAGCTGAAGTCTTGATTTTTCGACATTCCCTTCTGCTCAGTGACTCCAACATCTCTTGTTCATATCAGTACAGATTCCTAGTCCTGCATTTTGAATTATATATTTAGTCTGTTCTTTTCCTGTTCAAAATTAGGAAAACTAGATTCTCAGCCTTGTACATTTCTTCATCAAGATTCAAATTTTCTCGCTGAAACACCACATAGATTGATGAATATATAGGTGTTTATAACAAGTCCTTAATTTGGCTCTAGTATTTGGTTAAATATGGTTTCACAGGACTCAACCCCCAACCCAGCCTCAAATATTCTACACCAATTCATTATCTCAGATTCGATTGCTAGTCGAAACCAATTCGAAAACCAACATTTTGAAGCTTACAGGAATGAGCTAAGAGGCAGTAGTAGTGGTTTATACCCTCCTCAGTCTCTTGGTGTTTTGCCCAGCATTCAGTCTCTTGGTGAAAGAGTGTCTAGATCAATAGACCTTGTCCATCAAACTCAGGAATCTGAGATGAACCATAGTGGGCACTTAATGGATCTTCTTGGAGCATCAAATGATCAGGCCAATCACCATGCTCAAAGGCTCTCACTGTCTCTTGATTCTCCTCATATGCTTATTCCGCCGTCGGTCCAATATAGGCAAAGATCCTTGAATTCAAATCTCATTAGCCCCAATTACTTATTTGGTGGAGAACAAGCAAGAGAAAATGGCGATTATTCTTTTGCAAGTGACCCTTTTGCCGCCTCTTCAACCTCAGCAAATCAATCTTGTTCCACCTCTTATGGAGCAGAAGCTTTTGCTATTGCTGTTGGCAGTTCCAAATATTTAAAACCAGCTCAGTCCCTTCTGGAAGAATCCGTTAATGTCGGTGGCAAAGCCGTGGATTTGAGTAATGAAAAATATGTAAGGAGATTATCTTGTAGCAGCAGAAGAGGATCTTTGGGACTTTGTTCTGAACTAAAAGCAGAGTTGTGCAATAATGGACTCTCAGCTGACAAACATGAATTCCAAGTTACAATTGCAAAGCTTATTGGCTTGTTGGAGGAGGTGAGCTTTCAATGATTTTGACTTGATTGCTTTTTGAATTTTGCAGTTCATTTAATTTAATTTAGTTTTTTCAATCAATTTTCAGGTTGAGAGAAGCTATGAGCAATACCATAATCATCTGGAAGAAGTGGTTGCATCATTTGAGGTGATTGCAGGTCTAGGAGCTGGTAAATCTTACACAGCTCTTGCACTTCAAGCCATGTCCAGACATTTTTGCAGCCTGAGAGATGCAATTATATCTCAAATTAACGCGGCAAAAAGAAAAGCTGCACAAGATTTGCCAAACATCAGCACCGATTTGTCACAACTTGGCTTGTTTGATAGAGATAATAGGCATAATAGATTGTTTTTTCAACAGATTGGAATGAGCCAAAGCCAGAGGCAGGCTTGGAGACCTATCAGAGGGTTGCCAGAGACCTCTGTGGCAATCCTTCGCGCTTGGCTTTTCGAACATTTTCTCCACCCGTAAGTCTTTTAAACTCTACCAATGGGCATTAATGATCTTAGGGACAATATTGTTGGTGTGTGTTTGCTTGAACTTTCGGAAAAAAGATTTTACCATCTGTTATTCCGTTAGTACTGATAATTAGTTCTTCTACAGTTATCCAAATGACACCGAAAAGCTAATGTTGGCATCACAAACAGGCTTGACCAAGAACCAAGTAAATCCTCTCCTCACAAAATTCCAACTCTGTATGCATACACTGTCTTCTTCAATAATTTGGGCTAATTTTAATCTCAATGTGTGCTTCATCATGGCTGTTTTAGGTTTCAAATTGGTTCATAAATGCTCGCGTTCGGCTGTGGAAGCCAATGATTGAAGAAATGTACAAAGAGGAATTTGCAGACTCTTCCGCTGACTCGAATCCATTACTAGCAAGCTGTTCTTTCACAGGGGAAGGTATCACAGATGATGCAGAGGAGTGAAAGGTATAGGAAAGGCCTAATTTAGTTGGTCACTAATGCTTCTTAAGCTTAGGTTTTTTGTTTCCTTGTCTATAAATATATCAAGGAAAGGTTTTCATGATGTTATTCAAATTTCAGACATATAAGCTGAAAATGATGCTGAGTAAAATTGTCTGATCTTAGAATCATTTTGAAAGGGTATATTGGCAACTAGAAAATTTGTCTACTTACAATATAGGATTTCATCAAGAGCAGCCTTGACTGCTTGAGGCCATTTTCAGTGTTTTTACCGACATCCAAACAGGCTACAATATGTTTTTGCATAGATGCTTGTATTTTAGGGACTCGCAAAAACTCTGACATCAGATTCAAACAAACACATCACAGGAGAGTTTGAATTATGTTGGAACTACAAATTTCTTCATTCCAATGCACTCTGAAGGTATGAACTAGGAGAAAGAACAATCTAAAATAATTGAGATTAGGTTTCTTGAGCTTTCGGGTATGTGTGCTATTGCTTATCTTGCTAAAAAATCTAACAGACTGCCAAACATTATGTATGAACTATGCCTATTTGAACAAAATTTGTTTAGATTTCAACTTCACTGTTTGTATCATCTCTTAGCAAATACCAGAGCTGTTTGTATTATCTTATTTTATTGAAGTGTAAATTGAGATTTTTTTAGATTTTTGTATAAATGCTAACCCAAAATCTAACAGGAAGCTCCGCTAGCAAGGCTTTTGGGGCTACTCTTTTAGATCTCTGGTTAGAATCTCGCGAGGTCTGAGTTTAAATGATGCACGTGATTTGCTGGTGATTTGTGACAAATAGAGTTTGCAAACCATCCAATAGTGTAAAGTGATTAAAGGTTGGGTCAATTCTTTGTTTAAAAATAAAATCAGAGAGAAAGTTTTATCAATTCTTTTGACAGATATTCCTTCCTTGTAGAAAGTGTTATTCCTATTATACATATGTACTTCAAAGTAGTGGAATAATATTGTTCTAGTAATTAATAATGATACTAGTGTAACATACAGAAGAAATAATTTAAGAAAGGACAAATTACATAAATCACTCCTCAGATTTTTTATTCATACATCAAGATAGAAGTGGCCATATAACAGGAAGGTCCTAGTTGAGTAATTGATCTTAGTGAATCAGCATAAATTTACCCATATGACCTTAGGCTAAATCAGAGAAAAATTGAGAATGAGTTTGGTATTGTTAAGTTACATTTTTGCCCCTCCTAATACATAAAACAATTTTCCCTTATACTTGCAGCTCATTTTGGTTGGTGGAAAAAGACTGTCTCCTTCTCTTTTCTAACTCCTCTCACCCATAGGATGTAGATCTATACATATACATCTAATATATACATATACATCTAATATATATATATATATATATATATATATATAAGTAATTTTGAAGAAAATGATGGACCCAGATTAATGCATTGTTGCAAAAAAAAAAAATAAAAAAAAAAAAAATAAAAAACACAGATTCGAAACCATAGCCAACCAGATTGAAGTTGATTTCTAGAATAGTGGACAAGTCTCAAGGGAACCACCACCCACCACCGCCGTCTCCGGTCCACCACACCCAGTCCACTACTGTATTATATAGAGAGTGAGAGAGATATCTGGTCTACCACCATGACTGAAACTTCCGATTGCAGAGAACAAAACTAAAGCCAACACATCCCCACTAGCAAGCACAGCTACAAGATTAAAATACAAAAACCAAAAGAATAAGTTGAACCACATATACACACACACACACACACACACACACACATGTTTGTAGAAATATAGATGAATTTGAGAGTTGAGTGGAATGATTGAAATCATTGAATAAGGAATGATTGAATACCTCAGGGGAGGTCTGTGTAAAATAGTGGTGGTGGCGATTGGTGGAGGCATTGCAGAGGAGAAAGAAATCGATGGAGAGAGAATATGTTGGCGCTGGAGAGAACTCGGACTCCATTGTTGTTAGAGGGAGAAACTAGAGAGATGTCCATGAAAGAGGAAAGAAAAGTGGGATCACGTGATTCAATTAGGCAGAAGGGTACTTTTGTCCAGCTGATTATGTAATTTCAGTTTGCATAATGGACAAAAGGTTATTTTTGTCTAAAATTTTTTTGATCTCCACTGCTTTGACGCATCACTCTAGATTGAAGGATATGTGATAGATCAACGAAATTACAAGGGTTGTTGACCAAAATATTGGTCCACATTCTATCTTGATGTATGAATTGAAAACCTGAGGGGTGGTTTATGTAATTTGCCCTCTAAGAAAATATTATAAATAGAACTAGTAAAATATAGAGTTGAAATTAGGGCTGCAAATGAGCCGAGCGGAGCCGAGCCGACCTTTAGGCTGTTCGGGCTCGGCTCGTTTGTTTATGGGATCAGCTCGGGCTCGGGCTCGGGCTCGGCTCGTGACGAGCTCAAAAATTTGAGCTCAGGCTCGGGCTCATCTTAATTTTAAAAGCTCGGGCTTGGCTCGTTTAACAAAAAAAAATAATAATAATAAAATTCAAAATTAATTAGTATTCTACAGGCCACAATACCTTTTTCCATTGCTTTATCAATTATCACATAAGCAAAAAGAAAAAAGGGCAAAAAAAAAAAAGGTGCAGTAGTGCAAGCTTTTATGTTTTAAGAACAAATTAAGAGTTAATTTTGAAAAAAGAAAAAAGGACAAAATTGAGCATGAGTGCATTATGCATTTTCTATGAAAATACAACACATCAAAAAGTTATAAATTCTCATGATAATAATATCTATAGAACCACTGAAACATTGTATATATTAAGTAGAAAAAGAAATCACAGAGGAAAATAAGTTGGAGATAAATTAATTTAGCTACCTATGGCCATTGAGCATTAGTCTCCATAAATTTAGAAGAAGCAGAAGAAAAGGTTAAACAAAATTGTCTGCAATTGCCTAAAGAATGTTTTGAGGTTGTCCAGATCCATGGAATTAAAGTGAAAATAAATTTTTGTCAAAAAATTAATTGATGCAGTACCTAATTGATGGCGAGGACAGAGGATGGCCAACGATGATGACGAGGATGGAGGGACAGCGGCACAGACGACGGCAGGAAACGGACAACGTCCATGGCGAAGACAGAGGACCGCTGCCGACGATGACGATGACAGACGATGCGTTCAGATTTGAGAGAGAGAGTTATGGCGATTGAGTTGATTAGAGAGAGACAGAGAGGTAGTTGTGTAGATGGAAGGGTTGTCGTCGCCGGTGGAGTTGATTCGTAACTTGTGAGTGAGTGATAGAGAGAGAGAGACTGACAATGTTGTGGAGAAGAGGCAGATCTGAATGGTGGGGTGTAGTTTTAGGGTTTTTTGATATCTTACAAAATCAACGAATGAGATGGGTTCTAATTTAATGGGTGAGACGAAATCTTATTTGGGCTTTGGATCTATGGTGGATTTTCTTTGGGCTAGTGAGTTATAATGCTTGGGCTATATTAATGAAAAATATGAGCTAGGCCAAACTTAAAAATAATATGGACTAAACATTGTAAATATACAATAAAAACAAATGGGCCTGATATATATAACGAGCCTGATACGAGCTTTGTTTACGAGCCTTAACGAGCCCATGTTCACGAGCCTATGCGAGCTGAGCCCAACATTGCTCAGGCTCGGCTCATTTAGTAAACGAGCCTAGAAATTGGGTTAGAGCTCGGCTCGTTTGCTTAATGAACGAGCCCGAGCCGAGCCCTTAACGAGCCGAGCCCGAGCTGTTCATGAACAGCTCGGTTCATTTGCAGCCCTAGTTGAAATTGTCCTAAAGCTGCAAAGCCTCCCTATGTGCAGGTACAAGTGGTCCTATGTGACTCGAAGATACAACCCAAAATACAAAGGAGATAAAGTTGCACCCACCTAGTGTCAAGTTTCCCAAAAATATATATTGTAAAATATGATGGAATCTTTGTATAGAGTGAACGGAGAGATTTTAGTAGCAATTTGTGTATGGAAACTTTGCATACATAATCTTTTAGAGAAACACTCCTTTTATAGGCTTCACATAATCTGGTTATTTATTGGCCAAAATAATGAGTCATAAAAGCCAAACGTTCATATGCATATACTATGAGAATTTTTTAAGTAATTAAAGGCCAAACATTCATATGCATATACTATGCGAATGTTTTAGGTAAGTAAAGGCCAACATTCAAATATTTTAATGCTATGTTCGGTAGGAAGGAACGAAGAGGGGTGGAAGGAAAATAAGAAGGAAGGAATAAATTTCCTTTGTTCGGTAGAGATGATATAAGGAAAGAATAGATAATAGGAAGGATGAATTATCCTTCCTCCTTCACAAATTTTCGTCTGCTCAAATATGGGCAGAAGATAAGAGAGGAGAAAGTGAGCCTATTATAGAAGTTTTAAATTACTACATCACCCTTCATAAATATTTAATAAATCCCATAAATAAATTAAGGGATGGGTTTAATGGTAAAAACAACTTAAAATTTTTTTCTTTCCTTTTATCCTACCGATCAAATTAAATTGTTAGTTTTTTCTATTCTTTTCCATCAAACTAAACAAAAAGAAGGAAACACTTAATCTCTTCCCTATGGATGTCTTAGTCATCCCTTATTCTCTCCCTTTAATTTAATTTAATTTTTTTTCCTTCCTACCGAACGGAGCATAAGAGTAGTGATACTCACACCAACACTTGTAATGAATTACCTAATAGAGGGCTCTACTTCCTTATTTATTGCATAATTAACTAATTAAAATAGTTCATCTAACAATTCAATATAATTATTCGGTGCAAGAATTATTTTTCATATTTTAAAAACCCATCTTAACAAATAACAAATGATAAAAATCAAAAAAAAAAAAAAAAAAAAAAAAAACCCCTTAATTTTTTCCTTAATTTAAACCATCACATGGAAGAAGTTTTAAAAACTTCTTATATATCTAATAGAAAGATCATGAGCATTGATTATTTCATGGACTTTCAAAAAGTTTAGGCTTTGTTTGGTTAGATGGAATCAAATAAATAAGACAGAAAAGATATTTTCTAATTTTTTTTTGGATTTTGGATAGAATGAAAGATTTTGGATAGAAGGAAAAAGAAACGCTGTGACGGCCCTGGTTTTTCAAGCCAGTGCGTCCTATAATGAACCGTAATTTGACCTGATAACGGATCCGAAATGCGGAAGTAAAAATAGAAAACAAGTCTCTAGGGATATACAACATCCCTAGGATGCCAAAGTGACCTTTCATAAGGTCACGGAACTCCACGAGAATCGACGCGGAAGAAAAGATCAGAAAAAGACCAAATAAGCCCCCAAGGGCAAAATAGTCTTTTACATGAAAGTAACGTCTCTGGAAATATACATCATTCCCAAGACACATCCGTGACATCACGAAACTCATAAGAAAGCATAGCGGAAGAAATTTAAAAAAAAAAAAGAAAACCGGACAAGTTTACCCAAGGGCAAAATGGTAATTTTTAACAAGATCTGGGTGCTACCGAGCACACCATTGGAAAGACAGTGAAAAATTAATCAAGTTAGACTCAAGAATCACTTGATTCGGAGTCCGGATGGAAGAGAAAAGTCAAAACAAAGTTTTGACGTCGCTGAGGCCGTGAATAGTGTTTTGACAGCAATGAATAGTAACCTAGGCAAAATGCTGAATTTTGTGCGCCGTTTTGAGGTACTAAACGATGTTTTCTGGAAAGACATGAAGTAGAAACCCTCCTTAAAATAATTTTTCCAAGCTGACCATGTGAAAAGAAAAATTTATTTTTGACGTGAAATCCCCAAAATGCCCTTACAACAGACTTTTTCAAATAGTGCAGGTGCGCACAGGAAATCAGATTTGATGCGGGGTTTTTGAGTCCGAGATGACATTTTCTAGAAAAATGTTGTGAAGAAACCCCCCCTAAAATCACGTTTTCAATGTGACCATGTCAAGACCAGAATTTAGTTTTCAAAGGAAATTTCCAAAATGCCCTAGATCAGTTTAGGCCAAGAGGGTTAAAAAGCTACTACATGCATAGCAGAAAACTGAACTTTGCAAGGGATTTCCGGTACCAAGATGACATTTTCTGGAAAAACACAAAGAAGAAACCCCTCCTTAAAATCACGTTTTCTACCCGACCATGTCAAAAGAAGAAGAAAAAAAACGCGCTGTGAAATGCCTAGAACGCCCCTGATCAGTTTAGGCCAAAAACAAGGAAAATGCAACTTTGCACCAAGTGTTCATTTGACCCTAAATGCATTTCTAGGCTAAAATGATTATGCACGCAAATGTATTTAGTGTTTCTAAGCACGCGGGAATGGTCCGTGGCTCTAAAAAATGGCCGATGTAAAAATACGACCCCCTAACGGCCAAAAATGGCAAAAATGAACTCAAAATGGAAAATTTGAAATCCAAAAATATGAAATGGTTTCAAATTACCATTTGGCCATTGGCCATACTTCATACATGATTAATGAGACCTTAGGAAAGAATAAAAATGAAATTCCCACACCCGATGCAAATATGGTGAAGTAATGACTTGTCATTTTCCAATATTTCTATAATATTTCTTGAAGTCAAAAGTTACATAGGATACAAAATAATAGTCATTGGCCTCCGGCCTCATCTCACATGTCAAATATATCGTAAAAGGTATACTTATGTACATGTATATGGAATAAAAAATACAAGTTTTGACATACAAAGCTACAAATAGGATTTCATGCCAACATTTTCATGAAAATGATACTTCAAGTCTACGAAACTTCAATGGCTGAGTGTGCATCCCAAATCAAGGTCCCTGTACCTGAAAAATGTCCCCACTACGTGGGTGAGTAACATAAAGCTACTCATAGGAGATGAGTATGCATCGACCTAGCATTTTACAATTATATCACCTTAAGGTGAAACATGTTAAAGGAGCTCATGCCACCTAACATCTATGTCAAAGTGAGACTCAAGGATCATCCTGAGCTACCTTAGATCATTTCTAGTATAAATCACATTATTTATGCAATTTAAACAGCATAGAAACA